CGTATTCGGACTTTTGCGTCAGTACTACAGCAATGGTCTGCTAACGCACGACCCAGAAGAGATTACAACTCTGGAGAACCTCACTCTGACGCACTCAGACCAAGAATGTCCGGATCCCGTTATGCCCGCTCCTGTAATGCAGCATGACAACTTGGAAGCCCCAGACACCTTCTATCCGTATCCAAACAAGTCCTCATTTCTCCTTGGCGATTGGTTTTGGAACGGGGGTATCCAGAAGTCGCAAAAGAGCTTCACGGAACTCTTACGGATCATCGGCGATCCTGAGTTTCAGCCTGAAGATATCCGTACCACGCGCTGGAACTTCATCAACCGTCAGCTTGGATCTACTGTGGAAGATGCAGAAGGGCGTACACCCTTTGAGGGTGCTGGATGGAAGACGAATTCAATCAAGATTAAAATACCTGTTCACAATCGTGCGGATGGTTCAGGCGTTCATGACTACCTCACCACAGAATTTTATCATCGATCGCTGGTATCCGTCATCAAGGAAAAGCTTGGGAACGAAAAGCATGACCAACTCTTCCACTATCAGCCCTACGAATTGCTTTGGAATGGCGGACGATCTGAGACACCCATTCGTGTTCATGGAGAACTCTATACTTCCGACGCCTTCATCCAGGCACACCGTGAACTTCAGGAATCGCCACCAGAACCTGGGTGCACCCTAGAGCGTGTGGTTGTCGCCCTCATGTTTTGGTCCGACTCAACTCACCTAGCTTCCTTCGGCAATTCAAAACTCTGGCCCTGCTATATGTTTTTTGGGAACGAGTCGAAGTACAGAAGGTGCAAGCCTTCTTGCCGTCTATGTAGCCATGTCGGCTACTTCAATCATGTAGGTGTCCATACGCTCTCTTGTTACTTTTGTACTCAAGCTCACGCCATCTTCTAGCTCCCGGATAGTTTCAAAGATTTCGCTACAAAGCACTTTGGTGGTAAAGGCCCCAGTGCTGACTTTATGGCGCACTGCCACAGGGAACTTTATCACGCACAGTGGAAGATTCTACTGGATAGTGAGTTTGTTCAAGCTTGCAAACACGGAATTGTGATACGCTGTTGTGATGGAATCGAGCGTCGCTTTTACCCTAAGATCTTTACTTATTCTGCTGACTACCCAGAAAAGTGGGTCAAATTTCATACCTAGAGGGCCGATGGTCTAAATTCGTTGCTCATTCCATTGTCAGGGCGTTAATAGCTACCATACGCAATCTGGGTGGGTGCCCGTGCCCTAGATGCCTCATCCCAAAGCCCCGTATTCAGAATCTGGGCATGCCGCTGGACATGAAACAACGCCAGACCCTCTTGCGCGTGGACGACCACGCCCGGCAAAGTAAAATTGCCACCTCCCGCTCACTTATTTATGACAGCGGCTATGGCGTTCGCAGCAGCCATGTTGAAAACCTACTGAAAGAACACTCATTGGTGCCAACTTCTGTAAGTTTGAGTCGATGCTGAACTCTTGTATGAATGTTGACCACTGCCTTTTAGAATGCGTTTTCGGAGAGGCTGGGATGCATTGGCTTCAATTTATTTGCTATGCTCATCGTAGACCTCCTGCATGAGTTTGAGCTTGGGGTCTGGAAAGCCCTATTTACCCACCTGATACGTATTCTCGGCGCTGCTGGCAAGAGTGATGGATTGGTGGACGAGCTTGACCGTCGGTAAGTTTTGTTCGATGAGCCTGGCCTACTCTGACGAACGGAGTACTTAAGGTATAGACTCGTGCCCACCTTTGGGCGTGATACCATTCGAAAGTTCGCTTCAAATACATCTGAAATGAAGAAGATGGCTGCGCGCGACTTTGAAGACATTCTTCAGGTAAGGTTTAACTTTCTTTTTAACGTCTCTCCATGATACATATGCCTTTAATCAGTGTGCCATCCCGGTTTTTGACGGCCTCCTACCAGAGCCACACAACAGAAACATCTTAGGTCTACTTAGTACGTGCGCAAGCTGGCATGCCCTGGCAAAGCTGCGCATGCATACCGATGAGACGCTTAACCTCCTTGACGTTGCAACCGCTACCTTGGGAAAGCAGCTTCGCCATTTCCAGAAATTTACCTGCTCGGCTTTCAAGACCCACAAACTAAAGCGGGAAGCAGAGTGTCGTCAGCGCCAGAAGTTAAGGAACCTGGTTGGCCGCGGAGAGGCAGTGGCGACCGAGTCAACACCTCAGACAGCTCGGAGACCAAAGACATTTAATCTACAAACCTACAAGTTACACGCCCTGGGTGATTATACCACTTCCATACGCAACTTTGGCACAACTGACTCCTACAGCACCGAGCCGGTGAGTGAAAACGTCAGTCTATTATATCCTCCACCATCTAAACAATATCTTGTGCAATGTAGGGAGAGCTAGAACACCACACCTCGAAAGCAAGGTACTGTCGAACAGGACCGAAAAGAATTTGTGAAACAGATAACGAGGATCGAACGGCGCGAGGCTCGCATACTCAACATCCGTGACAAGCAACTACCGCAGGGTGCAGTGGTGGAAGAGGAAGAAGTTGCCACCTCACCCGAAGCTCATTTCCATGTTGGGAAATCTCAAAATTACCCTGAGCACATCCCGCTGTTCCTCCAAAGGCATGCGGGGGATCCTGCTGTCAAAGTGAGCGCTTCGTAGTTGTTATGTCAACTTGAATGCAAGGCGGTGCTGATTCTGAGTGCCAGGACTTTTTACCCAAGCTTCAGCACTTTCTCCTCAATAAGATCAAGGAGGTCTTAACCAGGGAGGGTACTATGCATACTGACAGTTCCGCCAGCGCTACAGTCCCAGGAGCTATCCCGGTATGCTCAGACTGGGAAGGACGTGTTTTGATCAAGGCCGATCGCATGTACAGGCACAGCTTGATGCGGCTTAACTACACCACGTATGACGTCCGCCGAGCGCAGGACGTCATAAATCCATCGACCTCTCATTGCAATGTTATGCTCTTGGGCCAAGCGAGGGAGGGCTCAACCGCCCATGAAGGTCATCCTTATCTTTATGCTCGTGTACTCGACATCTATCATGTCAACGCCACTTATGTCGGCCCCGGCGTGGCTGGCTATCACTCGCATCGAATCGACTTCTTGTGGGTGAGATGGTACCAATTCCTTGACAGACACCCCAGTAGGCAAGCGCCTCTAGATCGTGTCTGCTTCCCGCCTACCGCGGAGCCAGACTCGTTTGGGTTTGTTGACCCTGATGATGTCCTTAGGTGCTGCCACATTATTCCATGCTTTGCTCAACGTATGCAGCACTTGGACGGTAGGGGCATCTCACACTGTGCTCAGGATAAGTTGGATTGGAAGTCCTATTATATCAATCGGTGTGTCCAACATCGCTACTAACGGAGCTCCTCTGACTTGATGGGTTAGTTTTGTAGACCGGGATGCCTTTATGCGGTATCAATGGGGGTTGGGAGTTGGGCACACCTATGCTCATACCGTCATGCGTCAAGATGAACCAACGGTTGTGCAAGACGACTTTGAAGAAGAGGAGGTTTTGAATTCTGGCCCAGGTTGCGGCGCGTCCGACTCAGGTAGTGACTCAGAATTGGAAGGGTCTGACTCCGACTGGGGCTCTGCTTCACATGGAGGCGGTGACAGCGATAGCGACCAGTCCCTTGACTATGAGAACTAGGTTGGTTGGCGTAGATAGGTGCCTCTGGTACAGGGTTTCGTGATTCAAATTTCGACACTTGATTCTATGCTCCTGGTTCTCCACCCTCATGACTCGGCACTAATGTTCAGAACTGTATTTTCTCAAGATCCGCCTTACTTGTCTTCCAGTGAGATCGTACACTACATTGCTTTTTTTTCTGGACTCGGAGGCAGTTCAAATAAGATTCTTCTGTTAGTTTTTTTAATCCTTGATTATTGTCCAAAGCTCTATGGTGGATACTACTGGTTTTTACACTACGGAATCTACTATAGTTTTTGTGCGTTGATGTTGTCGTGAGTTTTCGGAAAACCGACGGAAGAATCCGCTTCTATTAATAACTTGAATATGTACTGCTTATCGATGACTTGACTCGCAACTCCCAGCCTCACCGCAGCCGCCAGCAGCAGCGCTGCATAATTCCAACCACAGGATTGCTACAAGATCAGAGATCGGCGCCGTCCCTGGTGCAGAGGTGCGTTTGTTCAAGTTCGTTGTCCCAAAATCAAACAGCCATACCTTATCATGGCATGTTCGACAGATCGATAAGAGTCGTCAAGTGCAAGAAACATCGAGCTTGAAAAACTCTCGCTATCAACGCTACATCTACACACCCCTTTCAAAGTTAAACAACTGCATCTAGATATTACAGAGTAGGTTGGCTATCCAGTATGTTTATCATATTCTCGGTCAATTCACGCTATTTCAGTAATTTGACTTTGACAATGTCAAGAATTTATTCTTCAAAGTGGCCTATATACGGGAGGATATTACACAGACTTCGGGCGTGGAGACTGAAGTCTTCCGTCAAGCATATATGGTATTTTATTCATATCCCAGTCTACTCGGAAATTCCTATCAATGTCCTTCACAGAGTACAGATGAGCTTGCGCTGTCGGTAAGTATTTCCGTCAAGGGTGATTAGGGTGCTAATTCACTATGTAATTTTTTTTTCATCTATCAAGAGAGTTTGTCTAGGTCTATGGATTCTTAGCCGCTGTTGTCAAAGCGCTAAGCCGCTGGCCAATGCCAGAGTTTGCTTTAAGGAGATGGCGAACATTATATGTCACTACTCTATCGAACATCTGAGGTAACGGAGCGGCGATAGATAGTCTCCACTGTCCAGGAGCTGACAAGTATTCGTATTTGTACACCGATCTCGAGCCAGTAATCTAAGTACACCCAAGACTACATCCAGAGGCACTTCGTCGCGGCGTGGGTGTGCCTCCAAGATGGTAGAACTTGTGGCAAACATTTCGTGCACATGTTCGGCTTGGAGACAAGTACCGTTTACAAGGCACGATGTACTCGGGAGATTCAGACGTTGATTGCCATGTCGACGGGTTATGGTCAACCACCGGAGAAAGGTAGGCACGTTGAACATAAATAATGTTCACTATCTCGAGTTGCTCACATTATATCAGGGCTTCAGTGCAGTCAAACCGGCCAACGAAAAGACTTGAAACTCGTCGACAATGCTATCGGATTGGTATGTACTAATTCTTTTCTCGACTCGTGATGGAGAAGGTGGCTGGCTGGCTGACCTGTGAGTAAACGTGCTTCAATTTTTCCCTCAATCTGTCTCATGTATGCATTGTAGCCGAAATGTGCTGGCGTTAGCAAACAGCCTACGAGACCCGACTCGGAGGCATGATTGCGTGAAATTCCGACACGACTTATGTCAGTGATATGTGCCATGGTACGTGCTGTTGTCGACGACTTTGTATTTGACACTCAGGGCTTGAATTGGATGTTACGATCTTCTGAACAGGCCCCCCCCCCAAACAAAAAAAAAACGATTCTAACTTACATCAATGGCCTTACTGGGTCGACATCCTAGGAGTGGGTGATATCTCCCTCGTCTATGGTGTAAAGTCTGACGGGGTACAGGACAAAAACTAAGCTACAAAGTGGTGAAATGATTATGACTGGAGACCAATGGCCGTTGTTCTTATACACCCTAATGTGACAGTATACAATCGATGCACGAATGTACACCCCCAGCACGCCATCGATGTCGCAGGTGGGGAGCTGGAAGATACTAAGCGCCTACCATTGATGCCTAAGCCAAGTGAAGTTAATTTTATCTATGGCAGTGTGTGGTGATTCATGTCTTCAGAAGTGATGTTTATCGTGTTTTCCGCCATGCCAGTACTTCTCAAAGAAGACTCACGCAAAGGTAAGGATCAGAAATTCTTCTATCTGTCATATTGACAATCTGTTCCTAACAGCGTAGACTTGAGTATCAATGCTGGCCTCGACCTCGAGATGCCAGGCACCAACAAGTGGCGCACGCTTGATCTCATGAACAGGTCCATTGGCTCATACTTTGTGACCCCGTATGATGGCATTACCGCTGCGCTTCCCGAGGACGTGGAGGTGCTCTATAGCGAGGGCACTAGTAGTATGTGGTTTTATCATCTCCATGAGAAGGGTTATGTTCATTTTTTATCTTGTTAGCCTACATGGAGATGCCCGTTCCCGCCTTCTATTTCGACCCACTCATCAACCAGAAATGCAAAGGAGGATACGTTGATATGGGAAAACAGGTGCGTTCAGTTGGTATGGAAATTTTATGTGTATTGAATAAGTATCGTACAGGATTTGCCTCCTGAACACGTCCGCAAAATTAGGTAACATGAGTAATCGCAAGTTTCGCAATGACAAGCGCGTCCACCTTGGCGCTTTGAAATACGTCCCTCACGCTGTAATGAAGCTGCTCGAAAACATTCCATACCCTTGGGAGCAGGTTCGCGAGGTGCCCGTCCTTTATCATATCACTGGCGCTATCACTTTCGTCAACAAGATTCCCCGCATTATCGAACCTGTTTAGCATGCGCAATGGAGTTCCATGTGGCTAGCCATGCGTCGAGAGAAGCGTGATCGCAGACATTTCAAGCGTATGCGCTTCCCACCTTTTGATGACGAAGAGCCGCCGTTGGATTATGGTGATAACGTGCTGGATGTTGAGCCTCTTGAAGCCATTCAGCTGGAGCTCGATACAGAAGAAGATTCTGCCATCATCGACTGGTTTTACGACCTGAAGCCGTTGGTGGACACACCTGCGGTCAACGGTCCTTCATATCGCTATTGGCAGCTCTCACTACCTGTCATGGCGATTTTGTATCGTCTTGGCAGAACCTTGCTATCAGACCAGCCTGATAGCAACGCAAGCTATCTCTTCGATAAGAAATCTTTCTTTACCGCAAAAGCTCTCAACTTGGCAATTCCTGGGGGGCCAAAGTTTGAGCCCTTGTACCGTGACATGGATGCTTTCGATGAAGACTGGAACGAGTTTAATGATGTCAACAAAGTCATTATTCGTCAACAAATTCGTACCGAGTACAAGGTCGCCTTCCCGCATCTCTATAACTCCCTCCCGCGTTCTGTTCACCTCTCGCCGTATCATTCGCCCAAGAATGTCTATATTCGCACACATGATCCCGACCTACCCGCCTTCTATTTCGACCCACTTATCAACCCTATCTCCCTGCGGGGCACCACTCCGAAGAACGCACCGCTCGTCTCTCACAAAGATTCTATTTGGTCCGAACGGCGCCGAAGACGATGACTTTGAGTTGCCCGATGTAGTACAGCCATTCCTTGAGGACAAGCCTCTCGAGAACGACCTTACTGCTGATGGTATTGTTCTATGGTGGGCACCTGAACCTTATAATCGGCGCTCTGGTCGCATGCGTCGTGCGCAGGATATACCTCTTGTGAAGAACTGGTACTTGGAGCACTGTCCTCCCAACCAGCCAGTCAAGGTTCGCGTATCGCACCAGAAGTTGCTCAAGTGCTTCGTCCTCAACGAGCTCAAGAGTCGGCCTGAGAAGGCGATGACTAAGAAGAATCTCTTCCGGCAATTGAAGGCGACGAAGTTCTTCCAGACGACAAAGCTTGACTGGGTGGAAGCCGGTTTGCAGGTGTGCAGACAAGGGTGCAACATGCTTAACCTCCTCATCCACAGAAAGGTAGGCTTTCGTAGAGATCGCTGGGGTACGTCGAAGCTGATTTCCCCTTTAGAACTTGAACTACTTGCATCTCGATTATAACATGAATTTGAAGCCAGTGAAGACGCTCACTACAAAGGAGCGAAAAAGTCTCGCTTCGGAAACGCCTTCCACTTGTGTCGCAAGATTCTACGTCTTACGAAGCTCGTTGTTGACACCCATGTTCAGTTCCGCCTTGGTAACGTTGATGCTTTCCAGCTCGCAGACGCACTGCAGTACATCTTTGCGCACATCGGCGCCTTGACTGGTATGTACCGGTACAAGTACGAGGTTCGCACAACTCCTATTGCAGGCGAATTTTCTTTTATTGATTTTTCATCCAGCTCATGAGACCAGTTCGCATGACAAAAGATCTCAAGCACTTGATCTACTACCGCTTTAGCACTGGCCCTGTCGGCAAAGGTCCTGGAAATGGCTTCTGGGCTCCTTGTTGGCGTGTCTGACTTTCTTCATGCGAGGCATCACCACTACTCGAGTGCTGGCTCGGTAACCTCTTTGCGTGTCAGTTCGAGGAACGCAACAGCAAGGGCATTGTGAAGACTGGGACAAAGTTGTCGAGTTTCACTACGACCTTGAATTGCGTGCTACTGCCATGCACGTCATTCTCGACATGATGCCCGAGTTCATCAAGCAGAACAAGTCGACGACAATTCTGCAGCATCTCTCGGAGGCGTGGTGTTGCTGGAAGGCGAACATCCCGTGGAAAGTCCCTGGAATACCCACTGCCACTGAAAACATTATCCTACGGTACATCAAGAGTAAGGCTGATTGGTGGTGCTCGGTTGATAAGGCAGTAGTGAAGAAAAATCTGGGTCGGCTGACTCGTCAGTACTTGAAGGATGGACTATACATCAGTGCGGAGGAGCCTGTTGCAATTTACACAGCGACCGTTCACTTGCTAGAGAGCCACAAATTTGCTCCTATCCCATTCCCGTAAGTGAGCTAGGCATATGTTGTACGTCCTGAACTCACCGTTTTCTCTAGACCGATCGTATTTTTGGCAAGGTGTTCTTGCAGGTAAGAATACTCCATAGATTTCTGCATCATGCCTGACTTTGCAACAAGGAATTTGTGGACGCACGACGACAGCCTAGTATTCAAAATGCCCCCCAAGTGCTCTACACCAACCGCGACCCACCCTTGGAAATCCGTGATCTGTTCACTACAAGTACATCCCCCTGCAAGGGCGCTCATTCATCTCTGATAAACCCTTCTTTCATCTTTCATCGGACCACTCCATCCACTTCCTGAACGGCAGCCACTTGCAAGTCCCGCGAAGGTGCGGGAATGATTGTGATCTTCGATATGTTAATAAGGCCGCCACTGCTAACGTTAGAAACGGATCGATCATCAGTAAGTGGGCACTCACCGGCGATACTCGTCCTTGGACAGCACCTGTTGATCATGTCTGTTTGACCCTGGCCTCACTACAACCTCCACCGATGCGATTTCTGGCCTTTTTACGTATCGGCTGTATCTCTAAATCGATGGTGAGTGGGCGATCGACGATGGTTTCGTTACTCACCGGATCCATAGGACTCATCTTCAAGCTGAGTGATTTATGATCTCGTTGCAGGACTCGATGGGCAATAGATGGCACTTAGTAGTGCTATTCTTGTCCAGCGGGGTTCTCGTGCCGAATCGGAGTCTGAAATATCTCTCCTTTCCCCCCTGTCGTCCTCATCCCCTGCGCACAGCGACTTCAGAACTCCATCTGCATCCCGTTGCGTGCGCCCTCTCCTTCGGACTCCTGGTGCTTCTAGGTGCTTCTTCTCTCTCGCATATGAGCAGCTCCCCTCGTCGCGATCCTCCTCGTTCCTCTTCCTCTCGCCCCAACCCTCCTCGCTCTTCACGCCCTTCTTCATTATCCCTCCCACCGCGGTCTATTGGTGGGGAAATCTCCTCACGCTTTGCAGTCCTTCCCATGTGGCCATGGAGGGTCTGTCCAGTCTACTGTTTGCGCAGAAAGCGGGCCAAATAGGCAGAGACATTGCGGATGAAGCAGAAAGTTACCAGTTCGTGATTCTCATCGCAGCAGCAACTGCATTCGTTGCAGCTGCGTGGTGGGTCGTCATCGTGCGTGCTGCTCCGCGTCTTCCTGAATCACGCCGCACACTAAATCTTATACAGGCATAACCCGCAGCTGCTGCATCTCCTTCCCCGTTCTCGCGGAGGGGTCCTTTTTGCTGGCTAAATCCTTGTCGTCTGCGTCCCACGAGACTAAGCAAGGACAATTAGTCTCTATCTATGGTCTCCACTTGTCCTTAGCTAGTTTTTCTATTCATCGGATTTTTCCGGGCTTACGTCCGGGAAAATCCTTTTGCTGGCTAATCCTCGCAGCCTGCGCTTCGGACCGCGAGGCTAAGTGAGACCAAATAGAATGCAAAGCTGCCATATACACTTTCATCGAGTGCGGTGTGATCTCTACCAGCAGCATCGTGGTATTGAGCGCTCTCAGCGAAATTCCAGGTTACTTGTAATTTCTTGTCCTTTTGCGCCATTTTTCTCTTGCTTGTATATTACTTTGTCGTAAAATAATCATACATGTGAGGTATTGCAAAAATCCATCAGAACTGTGGGTTATTTATAATTTCTTGTCCTTTGGTGCCATTTTTCTCTTCCCTGCGTATTACTTTGTCATAGAATGATATTAATTGTGCGGTGTTGCATATTTTTATCAGACTTGTAGCATGCTTGTGATATCGTATCACTTGCTGTCATTTTGCTGGTGTTTATATAATACATTATCATAGGGTATATTATCACAAAATGCCATAAAATTTTGGTCAGACTTTGCAAATTTCATCTATTAAAAGCACGTCCTCCCCAATTTCGTGATGAGTGACGTGACCTTGCTTGGTCACAGCTTGTTGAAAATATGAGTCTAAGCAGTGGTGACTTCATAAGTCGGATATGCGAAGAACTCACTGGAACCGTTGCAATTACTCGAGAAGATGTTGATAGTCCCACCTTCTGCGATGTAGTTGCTCTGGATGACAATGATGCGATTGTTCGCATCCACTGGCAGGGCTTGACTCGTCACTGGGGGTGAAGCCTGATAGGACGGTGATTTCGACGTCCCATCACCGGGTAGGTCACGGTAGGCTTCAGTGACAGCCGCCATTGCGTTTGGTGATGAAAAAAAGTGGGATGTGCCTCTTTAAGTACATAGCTATGTCGTTGAGATATATGGTCAACAACTGGTCTGTCTCGCACCTGCCGCACAATCTTGGCGTACTAATCAATGTGCATTGATGGTGCCCGAAATCGGATCAAGGACTCGGGGAATCGGCGGGGATGAAAAACATGTGTATACTGGTACATGCATATGTTGCAAGGTCATAATTTCCAATTGGTCCATATGGAGTTTGCGGGACTCCCATTGAGTGCACAAGAAGAGCCTTCATCAGCGGATAGTATAGCATCAGATAATAAATTGCTTGCAAGATCACAGACGACTGACTAGGCGCGGATCTGGGGTTCGGAACAAGCCGCCTTCACAGTGATGTGGTGGACATGCATGGAAGCCACACGCCCTTCATCAGCAAACTACAACTTTTCCCACAGAAAGCACAAGATTTGTGTTCCCACGACAGCCAATCACAGATTTCACAGTTCCGCCAAGAGTCACAGCAAAACAGTGCTACAAGGTACACATTTGTTACAATCACTCACAGATTTCACAGTTCCGCCAAGAGTCACAGAAAAATAGTGCACCCAGGTATACATTTGTTACAATCACTCATAGTTCTACACGGCTCACAGGACTTTGCATTTGAAAGTCAAGGAGTTCAAGTCCGAATAGCTACTAGTAATATACCTAGTAATATCATTGAAATGTGAAGTCTATTTTATTTCGGACCATGGATGGACTTCAAACAATGCGGCAAAATCTAATTCAACACTGAAATAACAACAGCACAAAACACAATTTGTATATAGAACTGGAAGGGACAGCGAGCGCACAAGTAAGTATATGTATGCTAATACTAGTAGGACACAAGGTGAATATCTATAAATGCAAAATTGTACCAACTCTCGACCGTCCGTGGCAAACGAATTAATCAAGCTGGATAGTGAGAACGCGATCGTTTGGGACTTCTCTCGTAGTAGCTGAGGGATTGATAAGGACGATAGTTGTCTCTCACAGATCATAAACTTACCGGTGCGCTGATCACCTTCACATTGTTTTGCAGATAAGGGACAATGAGACCAGCCATGCTGTCTGAAGGCAAGTCTCATACACCCCAGGCCCATGTCTGCATCATCTAGAGTGTTCTTTGCGGTATCCACTTGAAGCCTGAGCAAGCTTGCCAATACTTCATTTTCCCGTAGTAAACACTCCGCGAGTGCCTTCTGTGCCCGAAGTACTTCACGTTTGGCTCGTGCAAGGTCCATAACAAGGTTTGCTTCAGAATTGGCTGGTTTCTGTATAGACTGATAAAATTTAAGGCGCGTTATGAAAACGAGAAATAGACAATTGACTTTACCAAGGAAGTAATAGCTTGAAGAAGTTCGTAAGGGTCCATCCCGTGCGTCCCTGGTTTCGTGTCATCATGGTGTTGATGATGTGGATCGAGAATGTTGTCCACTAGGCCCGACGCCCTTGTTGATAATGCGCGCAGATTGATGGTCATGGTGTATTGAGTACAGTTTTCGGGAAATGCCGATATCACCCGATACTTACTGATATTATTATGATTTGTTTCTTAGTATGACTTATGTCGCATTCAAGCTGCCCCTCATGCGGCAAAGCGTTTAAAGACCATACTTCTGTTGCTCGTCATCTAAGCCAGCCTCGGTCTGGATGCAACACGTGGTTAGACGACATGATTAACTCCATTTCGCCCAGCCTGAGTGAAGATCATAACATGGACTCAGCAGATGACATCGATATTTCTAACAACGATCCGGGACTTGGAGGCGAGGAAAGTTTTCATGATTTCTATGGTGGAGGAGAAGAAGAGGATATACCTGAGGGAACTGCGGGTCATGAAGTGCGCGAAGTAACCGACTATTTTCCAGAGCCTCCTCTGGCCTATGAGGATGGCTACACATTTTTGGGGCTGTTTGATGCAGACGAAAACAGTGTATATCGGAAAACGAATCTCTACTATCCGTTTAGCAGCCGAAGAGATTGGCAAGTTGCAGCATGGCTGCTACGTTCAGGCCTGAGCATGGGCAAGATTGACTCTTTTCTATCGCTTGAAATGGTCAGTGCGTATATCTCACTTTTATTGCTTATGATTCACGTCTTTTTAGATCAAGGATTTACCCTTGTCGTTTCACTCTGCCAAAGAATTACGCGGTAGAGCTGAGATGCTCCCCAGCGGTCCGCGCTGGAAGTCTCAAGTAATTCGTACATCGCATCCTACGAAATCGCCTGTAATTCTGTACTGGCGCGACCCTATTGAATGTATCGCCAGCATCTTCAACCACCCGCTATTTCAAAATCATATCGACTTCACACCTCACAAGATTTACTCTACTGCAGAGAGGTTGTGTCGCATATATGCTGGATGGATG